TCAAAGAATGAGTTTTAGAGAGACGACGAGTGTTTTAGACAATGAGACATGTTTATAAAATTATATTTATATTATTGAATTATTTTAACATTAAGATACTTGATCTCATTATTTTAAAACACCTATAAACTCTAATAGTGATACCTGGAAGCTGTTATTGTAAGTGAACTCCACCAAAGGCAACACTGCGCCCCAACTACTAAGGTGATCTAACACATATGTTCTTAACCGATCTTCTAAAGATTAAATCATCCTCTCTGACTATTTATCTGTCTAAGGATGATACGCAAAAACTCATCTGCAATAGACATTACCTTATTTTATTAAATAACATATATTTCAATTTATTTGCATAAGGAAATAAAAAAAAAACTTACAATATAATATATACTAAATGTTTAGAAGGAAATTCCAACGAACTAACAAAAAAGAATATTTACTAAATTTAGAAACAAATTATTTTGGCCTCGAGCCCTTTTAATTACATGAAGTTTTTCTATTTCTAAAAGTAAACAAAAATATTATTATTATCTTGATAGATATATTATATATGAAATAATAAAGAGACAATTATGTTTGGAAAAACTTTTGTGCAAACACTTTGAAGAAAATATATAAAATGAATATTTTTCATAAATTTAAATTACTTAAATGTAAGTTAAAAATAAAAATTTAGAAAATTTATATAAGATGGTAGATGATGGGTCAAGGGAGATGGTGGTTGTTGCGACGACTGATGGAGGGTTTGGCAAGAAGAAGATGAGAATCTATTAAGAATAAAAAGTTAAATATAAAAAGTGAAATGAAAACTTTTAACATTGCCACGTCACGTTTGAGAGGATTTGAGGGTAAAGTTTGTGGGAATTAGTGTAGGATATGATTGATGTGATAAATAAAAAATTTGTTTAATTGGTAGAAATTAAAGATTACCAAAATGCCCCTAGTTATTAAAGTAATATAAAATGATAATTGTTAATGTTATATTTAATTATAGAAATGTTTATAAAGAGTAAAAAATTAAAATTAATTATTAAAGTAAATTTTAAAAATGTAAAAAAATTAACAATTAGTGAAATGAATTTTTTTAAATGTAATATTTGTTTGTAATATAATTTATCAGCAACAAACCGGCCTAGTTCATTCATGTATTTTCATAATTGAATATCAGATAAAGCTAGAAAGACCAAAGACAACACTTTTGTAGAATGACGAAGAATGACTATGTAAGAAATTGAACATGTAAAAAAAAAGACTGTAAACCAAAACTAACTTTCATACAGGATACTTGCATAAAATAAAGATCATACCATTCCTAAAATATTTAAAACTTAAAAAGATCAGACTAAAACGATAAGGTCGATTTATACCCATTAATTCGAATGGTTGCAGCATCGAATATGGAGATCTCCATACTCTCAAGATTCGGACATGAGAAGACAACACAAGCCAGCATAGTTGAATCAAAATCACTGTAGCACAACAAACATGTTAGATTCATGAAAGAAAGAAAAAAAATCAATTGCATTTTTTCTGATCCAATTATAAAATTTGGCTCAATAAAGATGACATCGCAGATGAAGGTCCTACCTCTCCATCCTAACACATAGTCTCACAATCCCAGGACATTTTTGCAACATCAAGGCAACAAACCCAAATGTAACCTTGACGGGAACAACAGTCTCCCTCCATATCTTCTTCGTCCTCTCCCTCCACCCACGACACACCTTCGTGGTGGACAACAGCTCCATCGGCGGTAACTTGTTAGCACATTGGCAAGTGTACCAAATCGTATCAAGTAATATAAAATGGTAAGACCAAGTATTGTATCCGACAAGACTCACGACATTATGATAACAATTGATTTCACTGTTATTTGAGAGTAAATTTTGATAACAAATGAACCATTTTTGACTTAGAAACTTGTTTGTTCTCTTGTTTTTAGTTTATTTTGATGAATAAGAGAGTTGAGGGTATAGTTGAAGATTTTATCACTAAATTCCCTTGATTTTGTAGGAAACTGGGATGAATTGGAAGAGGAGTTAAATGTCAACAAGTTGGAACTCAGAAAAGATAGAAAGAGCACCAGAATAGAAGGTTTCTAAAGGTCGCAGGACGCTTGGGCGCCCCTTATGGGGCCCTCGGCATAGGAGCCTCACAGTCACGCCTAAGAGCCCTCTTAGGGGCACTAAGCGCCAACCGTTATGTAACGTCTCACGCCTGGGCACCCTAAGTGGGGCGTTGAGCGGTGTCAACATTGGCCCATGATCCAATTCAACCCTATTTATGGATTTGCTTGACCTAGAGAGAGTATCTTTTAACAGAATTGACACAAATTAAGATTTTCTTCAACTCTCTAGAGGCAGAAGTGGATGTGGAAGCTCTCATCTTTGGTTTTTAGGGTTTTATCTTTCATTCTCATTCAATTGTTCATTTAGTTTCTCCATGACAAGGGGGAACTAAAGTCAATTTGTTGTTGGGGGATGATGTAACCTTCTGAACTCTCATGTATTTGAATTGATTTTAATTATATATGCTTATTTCATTATATGTAAGGGTAATTCTTCTTCGCTCAATTCTAGTTATGTTTAACTCATTCGTGGCATGATGTATAATTTGCATGAGTAGCGGGAGGTATCTTACAATTCAGGTTCTGGAGAATTACTCCCAAGAGAAATATTGCCCAAGGATGGGGATAGGAGGATTGGTCGTCTTAAGCTCCTAATCGTAATACAAAATTAATTATTAGGATTGCAAGGGATTATGGTATAGTAATTAAGGATATACTTTCTTCGCCGAGGGATCGAATTTTAAGTAATTTAGAGAGTGACGTTAACAATTGAATGAAGAAGACGAATTCATATATGCATGAGAGTAAACTAGGTGAAATTTAAATCCCAAAAACTTATTGATCTCATATTTTCAATATCATCCATTCAAGTTTGTGTTTTCTTCAATTGATCAAAAGTGCATTCATATTTACTTTCTTGTTTTGCATTCAAAATCCTTAATTGTTTTTCAAAAAGTCTAAATTAGTTGAGTAATCACATGAATGTTTAGTGCCGTGAGTCTCTTGGGAAACGATACTTGGTCTTACAATTTATTATTACTTGATACGATTCGGTACACTTGCCAATGTCTTAACAAGTTTTTGGCGCTGTTGCCGGGGACTCATGGTTTAAACTATACTTTTGTGTGATTCTTAACCAATTAGACTTTATCTATAATTTTATCTTTTATTTTTATCTTTTTATCTTTTTATTTTTATCTTTTTATCTTTTTCTTTTTATCTTTTTATCTTTTATTTTTACCTTATCTTTAATTTTATCTTTTCTATTTGTTAGTGTTAATCGGGTGCTCTAGTGTTTTGTTCTCTAGTGTATGCAGGGTACAATTCAGACTAGAAGCAAAATAGTCTTTGAACCTCTTCTTGCAGGTCTGAAGAATAGTAGAAGAAAAAGGAGAAACAAGACGTCGAAAGAACTTTTCCCTTCTCCTAAGACTCTTTTACAACCCTCACCTCAAAGATCTGACCAGGGAATAAAAGATATGGCTTAAGAGCATAATGGTAGACGTACCCTGGCAGATTATGCAACAATTATTGGCCCTCATCATTTTAATAGCATTGCAAGGCCGAGGATTAATGCTGCAAATATGGAGATGAAGCCTGCTTTGATTCAATTGGTAAAGAGCAACCAATTCAATGAAATATCACATGAAAATCCATATGAGCATCTGACCACATTCAATGAGATATGTAATACTATGATGATCAATGGTGTGCCGGATGAAGCTATTAGACTAAGTTGTTTCCTTTCTATTTGTAGGCAATGTTAAGATGTTGTTGAACTCTTTTCCAAAAAAAAGTTTTACTGAGTGGGAAGTTGTGGTTGCAAAGTTTCTAAACAAATACTTCCTACAATCAAAAGTAAACAAAGGTAAGCAGGAAATTTCTTCTTTTAGGCAGGGCATGAATGAAACATTAGGTCAAGCGTGGGACAAATTTAAAGGCTTGTTGAGAAGACACCCACTCATGGCTTTGATGAACCTACAGTAGTCATTCTATTCCTTGGAGGTCTAAGCTCACAAACTAAATTGATGCTAGATGCCTTAGCTGGAGGTAATATCAAATGCAAGACTCCAGAGTAAGCTTATGATTTGATTGAAAATATGACTACTAATGATAATGAGATGCACAATGAAAGAACTCAACTTCAACAAAAAGGAGTTCTACAATTACAATTTGAAGATGCTCTACTGGCACAGAATAAGATTGAGTCAACAACTAGAGACTCTAACAAAGAAAATCTCTCAATTGCCAAGGGAGTTGTAGAACGTTTCTCAAGTTCAACAACAACTTTGTGAGTTGTGCGGTGGTGATCATATTAATGATCAATGTGCTATGCCGGAAATGACCCAAGAGGAAGTCAATTTTATGGGTCAAGGCAATCAATTTCGTCCAAGTAATTACAACCAAGGATGGAAACCTCACCCAAGCATGGGTCAAGGGCAAGCTGGGCAATACAATAGACCACAACAACAACAACAGTGATATCAACAACCTTCGCTATATGAAAGAACTGAAAAGTTAGAAGAGACACTCCAATAGTTTATGCAAGTGTCTATCTCCAATCACAAAAGCACGGGAAGCTGCTATAAGGAATTTGGAGATACAAGTGGGTCAACTGGATAAAGGGTTGGAGGAAAAATCTGAAAAGCAGTTTGGGGCTAATACTGAAGTTAACCCTAAAGAGGACTGTAATGCTATCATAGGCATTAGTGGTGAGAGGTTGGAGGAGAGAAAAAGTGAGAAAAAAGAAAAAGATGTGTTGAGTGAAAAAGAAGAAGAAAGTGAAGAGAGAAAAAGTAAGGTTGAGAGGAGAGAAAAGGGAGAAAGAAAAGAAGAAGAAGAGGGCGAGAGAAAAGAGAGAATAATTGAGAAAGCTCTTCCTTACCCAAAAAGCTTTTCAAAGAATGAAAAAGAGAAACAATTTGGGCATTTCATGGAGATCTTCAAGCAATTGGAGATTACTATTCCATTGATTGAGGCAATACACCAATTTCCTGTGTATGCTAATGTTTTAAAGAAGTCCCTCAAAAAGAAGAAGTTTTTAGATGAGGGAACAATTGAATTACAGGGAAGTTGTAGTGTGATTTTGCAGAACACACTTCCTCCTAAAGTCAAAGATCCAGGAAGCTTTACTATTCCTTACACTATTGGGGATTGCGATGTAGGGAAAGTTCTAATTGATGTAGGGGCTAGCATAAATTTGATGTCCTTATCTATGCTAAGGAAGATTGGTGATCTTGAAGTTAAACCTACTAAGATGGTGTTTCAAATGACGGATAGATCTACCAAGAATCCCTATGGTGTAGTGAAAGTTGTTGTGGTCCAAGTTGACACACTTAAATTTCCATTGGATTTTGTAGTGATGGAGATGAGGGAAGATTTGAAGATTACTATCATTCTTGGAAGGTCATTCATGAAGACAGCTAAGGTTGTCATCAATGTAGATGATGGCGTTATAATGCTTAAAGACCAAGATGAAGAGGTGATTTTCAATGTCTTTAATGATGAACAGTTGATTCAACTGAAGAAGACTAGTCCAAACACTAGTGGAAAAAGAGGATTCCATGACTGGTTATTATGATAGGTGAAATCCACCTATCATAATACATTGACGTATTTTAAAAAACCTATCATAATAGGTGTAGCGGTGACATTTTCGTAATAAAAGATATA